CAGTGGCGTGCTGGCAGGGGGGGGCCGGGGGGCCACGGCCCCCCCAGCTGGCAATTCTTAGGGGGCGCAGAAATGAAAAGGGGGCGCCGATCCCGCGCCGAATTTTGAAAGTGGGTGGGAAAAAACGCATTCGAAAAATATAGTCACTTCCGCCAAGAAAACGACAAAGTGATATATTAAATTACAGACTATTTTGTCTATTAAGCCGTATTTGCTAATTTGCTACTTCACGGTGCACATGAAATCATTTATATCGGAACATGATCAGTGATCAAACGCAATGTCTCATTACCGAAACATTGGTCAGGTTTGGAAGCGATCACGGGAATTATGCCCTTTTTTGCTGGTATTATGCCCTTATATTACGCCCTTTATTATGCTTCAAGAGAGCGGCGCAAATTAGATAGTTGAAGTTATAGTGATAATGTAAAGTTGTGTACGCAATTTAGTTGTTTGCGCAAGAAACATCATGAGTAATGTAAGTAATGAAATAATGCTGAAACGCGCCCTTTTGGCAGCCAGGCAAGGAAACCTTAAAATGCATATGCGTGGGGTCCATGTATTATTGTATAAAAGAGCTGTAAGTTGTAAATGTATTCAGATCACTAGATCAGTAGAGAATAGAATTGGGATTAGATTAATCGCTGGAAGTGGTTAGCATTGTATAATTTAAGTACGAATTGCAAATTTCGACACGTTATAATGCTGTTTCCTGACCATCAGATTTCTGTCAAATCGTCCCCCAAAGTCCAGGAAATGGCATTTCAGAGACTCGAAATTCAAAAATTTTCCTGGGGGGCATGCCCCCGGACCCCCCTAGACAAACCTCGCACCTTTAGCGCTCGGCTCGTGCCTTCGGCCCTCGTTTATCAAGTGTAATATTATAGGGGCGCATATTGGTTGACAGCCCACTGCCCCCCCCCCAGAAAAATAGTACCCAGCACGCCACTGCCTTTGGTTGATTTGTCTTAGAATTATATTACCTATATTACAACAATTCTTCCTATTCTGAAACCAGTTGCTATTCTGTTTTTTACAACACTCACCCCACCCCCCAAAAAAAAACCTACTCAACAAATCAAGGACCCCCTCCAAGGCAATTTTGCCAGCAAAATAGATTAAATTTGATGGTAATTGTTCTGAGAATATATTAACTCATTGAGTGGCAGCATTCTGCCTAGACTTGCCACAAGTCGACCTCAAACGAAACGCAAGCAGCAAGTGTGAGCCAACGTTTCGTTCGAGGTCGACTTGTGGCAAGTCTACATTCTGCCCTTGAGTAAAATTATCTGGCACCAGACGGAGTAATATACTAAAGTAGGGACATTGCCACTATAAAGGGTTAAACAAATTTAAAAAAAATTTGCAATGGTCTATATTCAAAAAGCTCAATTTGTAAATTTTAATTGACTTTAATTAAATTAATATAACTACTTATACTTAGCTACCTTGCTCCAGTCACTTCAAGTGAATTCTACGGGAGGAGGGGGACATTGAAAATCCCTGGGTTTACTTGGTAAATGCAAGAATTGAACCATGCATTACATGTATATGGAGAGCAGTTTTAAATATATTTTATCATGCAAATACCTTGATAATTGTTCTTAAACGTCTTTGGCTTAGAATGGGTACACCCTCTAAAGGTGTTTATTTACAGGGTCCAAAGGTGTAAATATACACTGCCCAAGTGTTAATATAAACAACAAAAACAATGTATATAATTAAATTTTATTAAATAAAATGTGGAATATTTTACAAATTGCATTACCATCCCAAAGTGTACATAATTTATCAATATAATTAGGACTTAGAAGCTGTTCACATGAGTTTGACTCTGACTCAGCACCCTTGGCTTAGCTCCCCTTGCCCAATCACAAGTAGAAAAACTCCAATCCCTTTCTGACAAATCAGTCCAGATCTGCCCAAGAGGAAGGATTTTCTGGAATATTATTAGCAGTGAAATTGTTGCATATTTTCAAGCATGCATTGTAACCTGATTTTAAAGCCTGTTTGATCATCAGACATTGTGGCAATGGCAAGATGGTCCAGCCATATGAATACAATCTTAAACTAGAGGGCACTCAGTGACTGCATACCTCCGCCCACATTAAATTTCGGTCGTGTGAAATGCAACTAAGACAATAGATAATTAGGGCTGAAGCTTAATGAGGTTTATCATCTCATTGTCTTCTTAGGGGCTGATTACATGGAGAGTTTTCAGCCCGGGCTGAGTTTCAGCCCGGTTAAACGAGCTGAAATTGCATCACGATTACAGGAGCAGTTTCAACCCGGGCTGAGTTTAGTCAGAGCTATATTTATCATCAACCCGGGCTGAAATGTCAACCCGGGCTGAAATAATCTGAGTGTCACGAAATAGGACAATAAGCGTGTTACGCTTCTTTGAAGCAATCAGACACTGATTAGTCCAGTATTTGACTTGTGTGAGACTGTGGTTATATGCAAAGTATTTAAAAATTAAACAAACACGCAAAATAAAGCCATTTAAACGGTTGTTTTTTAGGCCGGGCTGAAATTATTCGCGATTACATGCATGCCGGGCCGAGTTTCAGCCCGGCCCGGGTAGCTCAAACCGGGCTGAAATTTCAGCCCGGGCTGGAATTTTGGTCATGTAATCGCTTGCTGTGTTTTACTAGGATTTTATCCTTAGGCCGGGCTGAAATTTTAGCCCGGGAAACCGGGCTGAAACTCAGCCCGGGCTGAAAACTCTCCATGTAATCAGCCCCTTAGTACTGCGTGCATACATTATACACGTCCTAATTACGCATTCAGTATTTTTTTTTTAATTGACCGGGAAATGCAAGACAAAATTTTGTTCATTTCTCGTTCAATTTTTAACCAAATTCAACAAAATTTTAATCAGTTCTTCCTTAGCCGATGGGAAATGCATTCAAAAAATTTCGTATGAATATGTTTGGTATTTCTTGAGTTATCGTGCTCACAGACAAACACACACACATACACACACACATACATCCACACATACATACAAACCCAGATGATTACATAACCTCCTGGCAGAGGTAAATATCATAAAAACAATGCAATTTAAGGCCAGACAGCCCAACTCCAGCGAAGAGCCCTTTATTACACATTTGAAGCATCTCTTGAGGCATCAAAGTACTGTACATGCAGGCACATGGAATTACATACGATCGAGTATGTGACATATGCCCACCATTGCACAACTTTTTCTGCAACAATGCAAATACAATCAAGCTGGAAACGGATTTTATCAGTATTTTGATATACAGGGTGTATCAAAATAAACGCAATTCATCTTTTGTGCTTAATAACTTTCGAAATACTATTTCTATTTAAACGCTTTTAGGCTTACTTCAAAGCCTGTTCTTTTCTCTTTCAAACAAACTATTATCCTTGTCTCCAATGCTAGTAATAATTGCACAGGAAAAGATTTAGTAAAACCTATCATTTTTAGTTGCTGTTTAATTATGCAAGTTTACTATATGTTATTGTTTAATCGGTTTAAATGTTAGAATTTTCTTCTTTAAACTTTAATGTTGTCATCACTACATCTGGAAAACCACGTAAGAACAAATTAAAAGTATTTTAAAAGAGACTAGGTTGTTTGAAAATCCTACACGAATGCTAAAAATTATAGAATCAAAACATTTTGGTGTCTGAGCCAGTGTCATCGAATTGCGATGTAATGTAAACAGAAATTATAGCAAGATGATGTCAGTCAGCTTAGATGGTCCAAGCCAAAATTATATCGCATTTGAAGTTTCAAACTGTGTTAAAAATAGTGGAAGAAAAGCCGTAATTATACTTATTGTTACAATCCATTTATTAAAATGCAACATTTTTTTTGTTTTAATGAAAAAATCAGTTATTTTCATGAGAACGATTTGTTATTCCATCTCAATTTTTTTAATCTCCAATCGCAATAACGTAAAGTATTATTACCCGCGAACCAATGAGTCAAATTTAAGAAACAACCTACTGTTAGAAAGCTGAATGGTTACGCTTTAAAATGAATGTAAACTTTAACGTTTTCGTCTATTATTTCTTTAGCAATTTACATTTCAGTCGAGGATTGCGCTTTTTTTGATACACCCTGTATACATTATGGCTCATGTCTAAAGACACCTGCACTTTCATGTTGAAATTGTTCTAATATCATCCAAACAAAACACATCAGAAAACTGTAACATCAGCCAAATGAGCAAATCACTTTTTTAACACAATTTATGGTAAAATGAAGCAACATGTAATAGTATCTGAAACAAAACCAAATCACATATTATTCAAAAGTTGTAAACACTGTTGCATATATATAACAAAATATCGTCGCATTTCTAGTGGCAACTAACTATAAATTAGGCCAATTTAAACTCGACTATGAAGAATATCAAAAACTAAAGGTCATGTTTCAGTTTATAAACCCAGACTTTAGCTTTACAAATATAAACATTATTAAAGCTATACGAGGCCAAATATGAAGGCACATTTTGCCCTAAATACTCGGTCAGAGCCTCAGAGGTGTGTTCTAGTACACAATTAATCTTCTCTCACAGTTTAAAACAAAAAAATAACACTAACCTTCGACAAATTGTGTATAAATCTTATCTAATTTAACCATTTTGCCACAGTTTTTACCAAAAATATTTCTTAGACGGACAAAGTATTAATAATGGACACTCTTTGCATGGAATGTTAATTTATCCCAAGGTTTGAATAAATTAATCCAAGGTTGCATTATTTGCATAATAATATACTTGTACATTGACCAATCAGAATACATAGAAGACCGGCCGGTGCCAGGGCCTTTTCCCGCCTTCCCAATGACAAAAAGGGAAAAGCCCTGGAACGAGGTTGGCAAGCAAGCAAGCAGGCAGGCAGGCAAGCAAGCAAGGAAGGAACCAAGCAAGCAACAAACAAACAAACAAACAAACAAACAAACAAACAAACAAACAAACAAACAAACAAACAAACAAACAAACAAACAAACAAACAAACAAACAAACAAACAAACAAACAAACAAACAAACAAACAAACAAACAAACAAACAAACAAAACAAACAAACAAACAAACAAACAAACAAACAAACAAACAAACAAACAAACAAACAAACAAACAAACAAACAAACAAACAAACAAACAAACAAACAAACGAAC